TGAAAGAATGGTTGTCTCCACTAGGCCACATACTTCACCATGGTGATGTTGAACCGAGCATCCGCCGTGCTCAGACACATCCACCAGAGACTGGACAAGGTATTTGTGTGCCCCAGGCAAGGTTTGAAAATCGTGCGCTCTGTATGCTATTGTCCACCAGAAGGTTTGAGCTTTTACTATGCTCTATAAAACACTCAATGTGTCTCGTCCTAGAGGCATACTAATATTTCAGGGAAAGTTACCATCTACATCATACTTTTGCTAATACCCTCAGCTGTTATTGTTCCCCTCCTTCAAATTATTTTGTGTATTTTTATATATCCTTATATACCTGGACATTGTCTCTTCCATTGTCCTTGAAGACAAAGACTATGTTTCATTTATTTTTGTATATGTATCCCCAGTGCCTAGCACAGGGTAGGTTCTTAAAAAATACTTGTTGGCCGACGGGAAAAGCATGTATTTCCTTTCCTCCCTTGAAGAGGTAGGAGACTATAGGTATAAAATGTTGCATATTCTGGATTGATTAGTTTTCTTAACTGCTTTCCCTCTTCCTCTTTCTTTTTAAATTTTATCATAAGATATAGTTCACTGGTTAGGTGGGGGGTATAAGTGAAGGTGATATGAAAACAAAATATATCCCTAAAAATTAAGAGCTCAACAACTATATTTAAAACTGAAAATTAGAAAAACTGTGCATTTGTAAGTTGTAATATTGAAGAGCATCCTTCATTATGTACTCCCTATATTTGTGCCCTAAGTGACTGCCTAACCCTACTTCTAAATTCCAATGCTCAGAAAAGCAATCTCAGCCTGAAAGAGGGTAATGACATTCTGTAGACCCTGGCACTGCTTCCCTGAAAATCCCAAGTTGGCAGAATTTTAGGGTACTGCAGCGGTAGTCCCTGAGTGATACCGCGTTCCCTGAGTCTCCAAAGCAATGCCATTTGAAGGTGAACATAACTGTCCCGCTTATATTTATCAGCGTGGCACAGCTTCTCTCCTGTCATTCTAATCCTTGTGGCAGCCTAGGTAGGGCATATGGGTTACCAGCCCCTCACTCCTCCAACCAGTCTGTCTAGAATAGCTCCTTGACTCCCTAGGGGGTCCTTGACATACTTGGGTCATTTGCAAGTGGCTTCATACAAACTACCTTGGAAATAAAATCTTTTGGTGAAAACCGGAACGGATCTCTAGCTCAACTTTGCAGAGGACTCTGTGGCTGCCCACCCCCCACACCACCCATTCTCCCTACCTCTACCCACATCCCTTTTAAACCTGGCTACATGTGTCAAGCATTGCTGGTTTTTCAGCAACCCCCACAATGGGGGCAGAGGGCTAGAATAAGAGCATGCCATGAGCCTCCTTTGAAACTCTTCCATAGTCTAATTCCTCAGGGTTTATGCTATCTTAGCATCATTTCATGTGTGGAGCAAACCCAAATGGAGTGCTTCATTTCAAACATCTCTATCCTTTCTCTTCTCCAGATCCATTCTCTTCCTTCATCTTATTAGCATAAATAATACACCATATCTCAGGGTGCCTGAGCATGTTTTAAATTACCTTAAAATACACAAACTACCTTCCGATATCATTCCCAAAATTAAACCTATTTTTGTCCCCAGGCCCTTTCCCCACCAAATGCGATTTACATGGGAGGCATGTGTTTGGCCTTACTGCACACAATGGGATAGAGGATTCTGAAATGAAATAAGTAAAAATCAAAATAAATCAGCCAGCCTTTTACTCCAATGTTTTTTCCAAGCACGTCTGTCTCCTCTGTGCTAAGTGCTTTACAGGGAAACACTGTTTCTAAGTACAAACACAAAGCCTCAGCTTGGAGAAAATTTACTGTTTAACTTCAGCTTTTAACAAGATAGAAGTTGAAGTCCTTCCAGCCCTCATCTCCCAACATTTAGCAGTTTATTTGGCCTTAAATAAGCACAAGAGGACCTTGAGAAACATGGCCTTTCTCTCTCCAAAACATCAAATTTGTTTCCAGGGGCAGTTCCAGCAATAGGAGGCATCTTCAATTTACTCTGGAAGGACATTTTGGTTGAGAAGAAATTTCCTTTGCATACGTGGCTTCTCCCACATTTTACGGGCTGGCAAGAAATCCACTGAGCTTAAAATGGGCCTGAAATGCAGATGGGATGGAGAGGAGGGGTCTTTTCAAACAACTGCTCCATTTATTCATTTCTCTGATTTCTATTATCTTAATTTCTAAGGTCTTTAAATAATAGAATGTTGGCACAGAAAGGGCCTGAACAGATTTGCCTTAGAGATCAGTTGTCTTGGTGCAATTCCCCTTTATTCTGCAGATGAGTTCATGGTTTATGATTAAACAACCTAGACCATAAAGTCTCACCCTAAGGCCAAACACTCAGGAGTATCACAATTTACCCCCAATATCAGAGACTATACATAAAGGACAATCAATTAGCAGAACTCACATGTCTAGTAGGGATCCTACCTATTCACTTAAAAAAATTGGATCTGTGATTTCATTGGTGTAGGGAAAACAAGGAGGAATTGGTCTCTTCCAGTGCAGATTTGTACCTGCTTTGAAATTCAGTCTTAGACAGGTTAAGTGATTTGTCCAAGGTCCAATAGCATTCCTGTGTCAGAGGCTGGACATGAATCCAGGTCTTTCTGACTCTGAAGCCTATTCTCCATCACAGACCCTTCTCTTCTTGCTTCCCATCCCATCCAATCAGCCACTGCCGCAACCTTACTTTCAGCCTGCCACTCCTGACCTGACACCACCTGATTCAATACCCTCCATACCACTCCTGAGACCTGAACCTTCACATTAGACTTTCTGAATTCCCTGCTCCAGGCCCCTGACAAGTTAAGCCACTTATTTTTAGAGCTTCTGCCCTAGGGCCCAACCCAGGAGATGGGTGATTGGGTTTATACAAACTGGCCCACTTAGCTCATTAATCTACTGGCTGATTTGAGACACCAGACCATGTTTCAGTTTCACATACCATCTAGTCAGCCAGCCAGGCCACCTCACAGTCTGCCTGCCACCATGTGTCTTTTCTCTCACCTCTCCTTTCCAGAATGAAATACCTTTCTTGGATGACACTCCCCTATATGTATTATAGGTATTGTCTTTACTTGTTAGAATATAAGCTCCTTGAGAACAGGGACTCTTTTAATTAACAAAATTTTTTTTAAGTATCTCCAGAGCTTAGCACAGTACCTGGTACATAACATGCACTTAATAAATGTTTTTTTTTTCTCATCTATTTGTTTAGTCAAATCAAGTTCAGTGTTTGGATATCCATTACATACTATTCTTTTCTCTTTTTGAAGCATGTAAAAAAGTGTTCTGAGCACCACTGAGCAAAAGTATAGGTCATTTTCCTTTCTAAGAGAGGTAGTCACTCATGTTGGCATAAACAGATTCACAGCAACAATAGGGGAAGTCCCAGTAGTGTGCGAGGAATTGGGACTTGGGAGAAGGCGGCTCTGCCTGAGCCCTGCTTCTGTGTGTTCATGCTTCTGTACAGCATGGCCAGAAGGCCACAGCTCTCACACTCAGCTTGGCTTGGGTACTCTTGGAGGCTGCCAAAGCCCCCGATCAATGCCACAGTGCTCTGCCAACATTTCACGCCTGACTAGTTTTCTTTCTTCCATTTACAGATACCAATGTCTGCCCTTGGGTTCCATGGCATTATGGGAAAATCAATTCTTTCATAGCAATATTTGTACCCCAGGCCCAGAGCATTATGGGAAAGTGAGTCCTTTTCAATTTCGACAGCACATGCTTACTACCCTGTGTTTGTTGCTGTGAAGTCCATCATTCCCCAGAGAAGCGGATAGAAAAAAAGGAGACCTTTGGCAGTCGCAAAGTGCAGGAGAAGGTCCTGTCTGCAGGATTAGGAGTAGCCAGCAAGGAGAAGCTAAACCATGAAGGGAAAAAAAGCAGAACAGTGGAGCTTCACAGCACAGGACCAAATGGACTTTACGCTACCAAGAATAAATATCTCAAGTAGAAACTGTTCCTTTTATTGAGAACAAATAGGGTGAGAGTAATCTAGAGGGATTTTAAAAGCAGCCAGGCTAGACAACCTAACAATAGCCACACACACTTCCCAGCAGGTGGAGGAGTTCGCAGGTTCTTTTCTCCTTAATCCTGTTCCTCCACTTCTAAGCAGGTGCAAAATGCTCCAAATATTCCTGGCTCCCTCCCTTTCCCGTCCACGTTCCCTTTCTTGTGCTCTTAATTTCTTCTTCTTTCCCTCCTTCTACCCAAAGTAGAGGATGGTTGGGGATATTATGACCAGAGAGTCATAGGGCTGAGGGAGCAAACGGGTGATGAGAACCACTTCCGTTCTTTGTCATCTGTTTCCTCAAACTCCTACCCATATGGAGGGGCAACACGGTGTACGTGGACCAAGGAATACTGAGGATTCAGCAGGCAGCTGGATAAGAGTGCTGGGCCTGGAGTGAGAAGACCTGAGTTCAAATTCAACCTTGGATGCTTACTATGTGATTCTAGACAAGTCAGTTAACCTCTGTTTGCCTCATTTCCTCTTCTGTAAAATTGGGATAATAATAGCATCTACCTCCCAAGGTTGTTGTGAGGATCAGCAATTGGGCCCAGCTAAACCCTTCACTTTATTTTATAAGCCTGGATCATAGGATCATAGATTTAGAGAGAGATCTGGTCCAACCCCTCTATTTTATAGACGAAGAAAGAAGGCCCAGAGATGTTAAGTGACTTTTACCCAGGGACATACAGGACTTAGGAAGGATTCAAAGGGGAAGGGGAAAACATTTAATAAGCACCTACTATGTGCTGGGCACTATGATCCTATGATCCAGGCCTATAAAATAAAGCCAAGGGTTTAGTTGGGCCCAATTGCTGCTTTTTAAAAACCACACCTGATCATGGTGTGATCACAGAGTTCTCTGGCATTTTGGTTAATGGGAGGAAGGAAGGTTGCTCTGGGCAGATTCTCTCAAAAGGATGAAACAAAGGCAACCAGAAGGATGTAGAATATTTATTCTTTCAGTTCATGGCTTAAATCCAGAGCCTTGAACCTGGTGGTGGAGGTTTTCAAAGGAGTGCCTGGATGAGTAGAGGGGTGATGTGCAGGGGGTGGGAGACAGTGAAACTGAGATAAAGACTGGGATTTATGGTTTCTGAGGTCCCTGCTAGCTCTAAATCTATGACGCTAGGATTCTACAGTTAGACTCTGATGGAGAATTAGCATGGTAGGGGAAAAGAGCCATGAAATAAGAGGCCTGGAGGTCCAAATCCCAGCTCTGCCACTGATTACCTGTGTAACCCTGGCCAGTCATTGCTCCTTTCTAGAATTCAATTTCCTCTTCTGTAAAACAAAGGGGTTGGATTGGATGACCTCTGAGGCTCCTGCCAGATCTGTCTATGACCCTGTGGTCCTATAAATACCATGCAATTAACAGTATAGGGAGACTGCCCACACCCTCCCTACCACCCAGGGGATCTTTTCATCTTACAATTTACAAAGACGCCTGGAGCCTTTTCTGAAATGTTTTGCTTAAGGATGCAGAATTAAACGTACAATACTGGGAAGGGGTTAGGGTGAGAAAATAGGTGATGCTTAAAGTTACTGCCAACTGGAAAATGGAGGAATGATAGAGGATAAATGGAAATGATGGAGAATAGAGGGCTTGGGGGACTTTAATGCAAAAAAAAAATAAACATCAGTACAGTGCACCATGCCTCTTTCACTCTAGCCTGGCCAGGACACCCACACGAGTACCCCACGGAAAGTACCACAGCTGAGAAAAGTGGTCTTGCTTTTGGGGGACCCAGTATGACCAGGCAATGAGCAGAGTCCCTAGTGAGTTACATTCAAATGCTAGTCTGGTCTTGGGGGGAACCCAGAGATCTTGGGTTCAGTGTTCTTTGGCTGAGTCCATGTCTCCCTGAAGATTTCTGTGCTCTGATAACATCAGGAGTGCTGAACTACTGGGATGGGGTCCAGGCAGTTCGTGGAATAAATTACTCCTAACTCCCTCCCACATTTTCTTCCATCCCCACAGTTAAAGCAGCCGCTGCTGTCCCTGGTGGTAGGGGGAAGGGCAATGGGATCTTACGGTGAGGCTGCTTTATCAGGGTGGGAGTTCAGTCCCTGGGGCTCCCATTACCCACAGGCCCGAGTAGCTCCTCCCATCTATGTCTGCTCCATCTGCAACCTGAAAATAGAGCTGGCACAGAAGTAGTGGGGAGCCCCGGGCAATGCCCTGGGTGGGTTCTGCCTGCCCAGACTCTGCTTGGTCAGGGCCTGCGCATCACTGACAAGTCCAGTTCGACCCGAGGCCTGTTTTATAGCTGATCTTCATCGATCCAGATGGTTTTGCGCTGCTCCTCTCCTATCTTCTCCTTGATGACTCGGATCAGGTCCTCCACACTGCTCCACATGTCGACCTCCACTGAGGCATACAGGCAGGGCAGGGCTTCCAGCTCCTTCTCCTTCTGGCGGCACACCCTTAAAAATTCCTCCTCCGTCTCTGGCCTGGGCAGCAGTTTCCTATGGCCCAAGAACAACAGACATACTCAGTGGTGCTCGTGTAAAAGAAACTGCTTTGTCCCCCAACTTGTCCTTGGCAGGAAAGAGGACAATGGTCATGGCAACAGGCTGATGCATTTCATCTTCTGTCTTTGGGCCCTTATGCAAGCTGTTTCCCATGCCTGGAACACGAGGCCATGCTCCCCATCCACTTCTTAGCATCCCTAGTGTCTTTCAAAGCCCAATTCCAACTCCACCTCCTTTACTGATCGTCCCAGCGGCTATTGCCTCCTTCCTCCAATTATTCTGAATAACACCTGAGATTTCTTTGGCACAGAGAACTCAATGAACAAACTCCGTCTCCCAATGCCCATTTATATATCTTGTTTGTATATAGTTGCTTGCGTGTTGTCTCTTCCATTTGCCTGTGAGCTCCTTGAAGGAAGGAATGATTCCCCCCCCTCCCCTTTTTGCATCCTTAATGCTTAACACTGTGCCTAGCACATAGTAGGTGCTTAATAAATGCTTGGTGACTTGACAAGATAAATGCAGATAAACACTTGCTCAGCAATTTATAATTTTAGGGAGCTACCTAGGCTGTTGAGAGGTTAAGTGACGTCTTTAGGATCACGTTGCCAGAATGTGTGTGTGTGTGTGTGTGTGGGCAGGTAGGTGGCACAGTGGACAGAGCATGAGTGCTGGAGTCAGGAGGACCTGAGTTCAAATCTGACCTCAGACACTTCCTAGCTGTGTGACCCTGGGCAAGTCACTTAATCCTGATTGCCTCCACAAAAAAAAAAAGCAAAAAACAACCCCCCCCCCAAACAGAATGTGTCAGAGGCAGGACTTGAACCCCCAGTCCTCTGAAACCAGCTCTCTGTATATAATAGCATAGCTGGTTCTTCAACTGATATTCCCGTATATTTATTTTGCAAATATTTATATGTGTATGTTTGCCCCCCTGAAGGCAGGGACTATATCGTTTTTGTCTTTACACCCTTGGTGCCTACCACAATGCCTGGCAGTGAAGTGGGTAGTGCTGGGCCTGAGGTCAAAAAGACTCGAGTTCAAATCTAGCCTCAGATACTTATTAGCTGTGTGACCCAAGTCACTTAACTGCTGCTTGTCTCAGTTTCATCTGTAAAATGGGGACAATAATAGCACAAGGTTGTTGTGAGGGCCAGATGACATAATAATCGTAAAGCCTGACACATAGTAAGCACTCTATAAATGTTAAGTATTATTATTATAAATGCATGTTTTCAATTGATTGGTATTGTTACAAAGTGTTCAAGACTGAGGTGCTGAACAGAAGTATTGAAAAAATTCAAAGATTCAGGAAACGGTGATATCTCCATTCAATAAAACAAAGCAAATATTTATCAAGTGTCTACTACATGCCAGACATTGGGGGAAGTACAAAGATAAAAATAAAACAGTCCCTGCCCTCAAGCAGCTTATATTCTACTGGATCCTGGATGTGTGCATATGGTGCTGGTTCATAGTTCATAGACTTAGATCTGGAAGAGACCTTTGAGTACATTGAGTACAACCTCCTCATTTTACAGATGAGAAATCTGAGGCCCAGGGAAGCTGAGGAACTTTGACAATTTCACATAGGGATTAATAGAGCAGAGATTTGAGCTTGGGTCCTCTGGCCCCCAAACCCAGTGCTTTGTTTACAGCACTGAGCTACCTCTACTTCCCTAGCTCGGTAGAATAATAATTGACATTTATACAAAGCTTTCAAAGAGTTCAAAGTGTTGTGTGTAGGTTGTCTCTCGTGAATCTCACAGCTTGTCTATGGAGTAGGAACTGAGGGGACTGTGAGGAGCGAAGGGGCTCTGACTGCCGCTGCCTACCCCGTGCCTACTTACCCCTGGTAGGCTGCACCAAAGGCAATTTTTATATTTGCTCTACCTGGCCTTGGCCCGTGTCACACTTATTGGCTTCTTTGCTCCCAGTATATCCCAGCAGGACACAAGGGAACAAGGAAGGCTGTAGGGAAGGGGGGTCTGGCTTTCAGAAATGAAGCACAAAACAGTAACACAATAGGTAAGTAGCCTGTTACTTATAGCATTTAGCACAGTGCCTGGCACTTAGTAGGTGCTTAATAAATGTTTATTGGATAAGTTTTGGGGGAAAAGGTGTGGAATAAAATGCCAGTTAATATAGTGCAAGAGGGCAATGGGGTACCCTTGAAATCAGGAGACTTGGGTTTTAGTCTCACTTCTGCCACTAGCTAGTTAGCTTTGAGACCTTGGGTATGGCTCTCTGGGCTTTTAGTTTCCTCATAGCTAAAATAAGGAGGCTAAACAAGATGATCTCTAGTGCAGGGATTTTTAACCTTTCTGTGTGTGTCTTGAGTTCCTTTGACATCCTGGTAAAATCTAGGAACTCCTGCTCAGAATGATGTTTTTGAATGCAAAAAAATAAAGTGCATAGAATTACAGAGGAAACCAATTCTACTAGATAGTTATAAAAAAGTCCCAGTTAGTGCAATAATGAATCCCATGAAATTATTACATTAATAAAATGTGTACTTATTTGAAATTATAATTATATGTAAAAATATGGTAACTCATTCTAGCCCAAAGGAAATATGTGATGAGAATTCGAATAATCTGACCACTTCTTGGGAATGCATTATTAGCACTAATTGGGACTTAGTTATGTCAAGATAATAAATAAAACAAAACAACCCCCCCCCAAAAAAATTCCAAGTTCTCTGACTCGGGGTTAAGAACCTGAGCAGTTGTCTTCTACCTTTTTAACATTTTATGTTTACAATCTCAGAATGCCAAGCCTTCTTCTAGCTCAACTCAAGTTCCATCTCTTTACTTGGGCAAGTTACAACCTCTGACTGCCTCAGTTTCCTCAGCTGTAAAATGAGGTAATAATAGCACCTATCTCCCAAGGTTGTTGTGAGGATAAAGTGAGATAGCATTGTAAACCTTAAAGCACTATATAAATGCTAGTTACTCTATTATCATCATCAATAATATTATAATATAAACCATATAATGATACAAATGATATGAATATAAGTATATAAGTCACTTGACCTCTCTCAACCTGTTTCCTCATTTGTAAAATGGGGATAATAATAGGGTCAAATGAGATAACATTTGTAAAGTGCTTTGAAAACCTATATAAGTGTTATCTATCATCATCATAATCATTATTGTTATTATTATGTTAGTGACATATTGTTATATGTTTATAATTAATGTGTTATTGTTATTTAACTATTATTACTATTTCTGATTGGCTACTTCCTCTTTTGGCCTCCTAAATTATCATTCATATATATACATACATACATACATACATACATACATACATACATACATACATACATATATATACATATATATATATATATAATTTTTCCCCCCAATTCAGTGATTTCATCAGTATACAGAGCTCCCTGGTAAGGAGCCTCCCACCACTGCAGATGGGCAACTGCTTTCAAACTTAGTCTTAGAGAGTTGTCTTCTTGTTGTTTAGTTGTTTCCTACTCCTTGTGACCCCATTTGGGGTTTTCTTTGCACAGGTACTGGAGTGGTTTGCCATTTCCTTTTCCAGCTCATTTTACAGATGAGGAAACTGAGGCAAACAGGAGTAGGTGACTTGCCCAAGGTCACACAGCTACTAAGGCCAGATTCAAACTGAGGAAGGTGAGTCTTCCTGACTCCAGGCCCAACACTCTGTGCACTATGGCGCCACCTAGCGGCCCTAGAGAGTTGCCTACATCAGTGAGAAGTAAAGTGATTTGCCCGTAGTTGAAAAGCCAGCAGGTCAGAGATAGGCCTTGAAAGCAGACCTTGCTGAGTCTGTGCCTGGCTTTCTGTTAGCTACATCATTCTGCTTCTCCACCTTGAATTTAAGTAGGCATTTGGTTTCTACTTATATGTGCATATGTTGTTTTCCCCAGTAGAGTATCAATTCCTTGAGGGTAAGAATGGTTTCAATTTTATCTTTTTATTTTCAGTGCTTGGCACACAGTAGGTGCTTAATAAATGCTCATTATTGATACTAGCTGACACTTATACAGTACTTTGAGATTTACAAAGTGTTTTACATATTTAAATCACTTGATCTTCACAACAACCCGGTGAGAGAGCTGCTGTTAGATTCATCCTCCTTTTAAAATGAACAGACTAAGGAAGGGTAAGCCTTAACTTAACTTAACTTAACTGCTGAGGTGTTCTGTGTTCATAAGTGCTCTGAAAATGTGCAGCCATGCGATGGGAGTATCAAGAAAGGCTTTGCAGAGGAAGCAAGCTCTAAGCAGGGTTTTTTAAATTGAGGAAGTTTGGTAAGCTGAGAAAGGAGGGCATTCTGGGTAGAGGGAGGGGCACGGTCAGGACTCAGCAGGCTGTATGCAAGGGGTGGGTGGGTGCATGTGGGGACACAGAGTGATATGGCTTGGGGTGGCTTCTGTGCAAGGACTAATCAGGGGGGCCACTGGTGGGGGCAGTGGCAGGCTGTTTAGGGTAGCGTCTGGGAAGCTGGCCACACCAATGGGGAGAGCATGAAACATTCCAAAGGCTCAGGCAGGCTTCCTTAGGCAGTTCCTGGGGGACCTTCACAGATTACAGGCAGGATTGCTGGTCGACATACAAAAATGTAAAAATCCCTGAGACATTACCTGAATTTCTTGATATTCTTCTCTGAAACTCTGATGAAGAGAACGATGGGGTAGATCTTCGCTTTGATCAAATCTTTTGTGCAGCTTATCCCGGCTTCCAGCAGACAGTGTTTATTCTAGAAACAAAACCATCACAGTGTCACCGGAGGACAAATCTCCATATTGCACGTGTATGTATGTCTAGGTATATGAATGAGCCTGTATAATGGCAGACAGCATGTCCAACAGAGAAGCTGGCACAGGAAAAAGGCTGGTGTCAGTCTCGGCAGCTGGGGAACCAGTGAAAACCAGAAACTAAAAGCACCCTTTTGCTAGAGATGAAAAATGAAAGCACAGATCCAATTAGACCAACACCCCCAGAGATACACTTAATACTCCTCAGATGTCTATACATTATAGAGCATAGCCATACATGTTAGGCCAGGAGGCCAGGGCCTGAAATAAATTAGGCTATAAGTAAGCTGTTTAATACAAAATGGCAATGCTGACCGATGGTGGCCCTGGGTGATACTTTAGATATATGATACTGATTGCCATTAAGCGTGTCCCTGGGATGACTGCATCCGGGTAGAAAGGGCTTGAGGGGTCTGCTAGCAGGTGAATGTTTTGGTGGGCTGGTCAATTCTTCAAGCCTACCTTCAAGGCTATTGTATATGTTTCTTTTTAGCACATGGGCACAACAATTCTAAAAGGGTACTAGAATGCAACTTCCTGGTTAATCAGAAAGTGACTTTTCTTGCCTTAAGTGTGCAAAGGCTTATACACTCCTTCTCAGAATCCTTGGCTTCCTCCAGGATTCATTTCATATGCTACTTCCCAGATGAAACCAATGATAGTAGCAGCTCTTTTTGTGGCGGCAAAGAATTGGAAATTGAGAGGATGCCCATCCATTGGGGAATGGCTGAGCAAGTTGCAGTATATGAATGTAATGGAATACTATTGTGCTATAAGAAATGATGAACAGGCTGACTTCAGAAAAACCTGGAAAGACTTATATGAGCAGAACCAAGAGAACGTTATACACAATAACAGCCCCATTGTGTGATGACTAATATTGATAAACTTAACCCTTCTCAGAAATACAAGAATCTAAGACATCTCCAAAGGTCTCGTGATGGAAAATGCTGTCCACAGCCAAAGAAGGAACTATGGAAGTCGAATCACTATCACTTATTTTTACCTTCTGTTGAGTTTTGTTTCCTCTTTCTGATGGTTCCTCCTATTGGTTTTAATTTTTACTTACAACTTCACTAATGTGAAAATATGTTTAATAGGAATGTAAATGTAAATCCTATATCAGATTGTGCGCCGTCTTGGGGAGGGTAGTGGGGCGGAAAGGGGAGAAAAATTTTCAGCTCCAAAGCATATGGAAGTGATTGTTGATAAATCAAAATAAATTGATAAAAGTTTTTTAAAAAGAAACCAATGATAGAATGCTCTCTCTTCTCAAATAATCACGTATGTACTTATCTTTTTATGTGTTATATCCCTTAGTAGAATGTAAACTCTTCAAAGATAGGCATGGTGCTCAGAGGCTCCCTATTGCCTTGAGAGTCAAATATGAACTAACTTCTATAGTTTCCATTTAAAAGGGCTCGTCTTAGCTTACATTACTGACCTTTATATACTCTGTGGTCCAGCTAAACCAACCTTCTTGATGTTTTTAACATAAATAGCATTCTAAAATTCAGTATACTATCTCTACACCTTTGCATAGTTTGTCCTCCATACCTGGAAGGCAACTCCCTTCTAGCCTTGACTTTTGAGAACCTCTCATTTCCTCCAAAGCTCAGCTCAAGAACTCTTTCCTACAGGAGATGTTTCTAGATCCCTCAGCTGCTCATGCTTGGCCCTGAAATTACCTTGTACTCATCCTAGCTATAATTTGGATATACTTGTATTTGTACATTTTGTCTCTAAAAGAATGTTAGCTCCTTGAGGGCAAGAGTTGTCTCATTTTTATATCTGTATTTCCAGTGCCTAGCGCAGGCCTTGACATATTATTGTGTCCCATTCTTTGTGACCCCATGGACCACATATCAAGTGACCTGCTCTAGGTCACTCTATTGTCAATCCTTGACTTATAGTTGGCATTTAATGCCTTTTGAAATGTGAAACTAGGTGGGGCAGTGGATAGAGTGCCAGGACTAGCCTGGTGTTAGGAAGAGCCATCTTCATGAGTTCAAATCTGGCCTTCCTTAGACACTTACTAGCTGTGTGACCCTGGGCAAGTCACTTAACCCTGTTTGCCTCAGTTTCCTCATCTATAAGTGAGCTGGAGAAGGAAATGGCAAACCACTTCAGTAACTTTGCTAAGAAAACCCCAAATGGGGTCACAAAGAGTTGGACGTGACTGAAAAACAACTGAACAACAAACGCCTTTGGAATTAGATAGAAGTCACTTTTAAGCTAAAAGTCATTTTGGTCCCAAATCCTTGGTTATGCCACTTACTACCTGTGTGACCTAGAGCAGGTCACTTAATATTGCTGGGGCTCAGTTTCTTCATCTGTAAAATGAAGGCATTGGTCTAGACCAATGTTGTCAAAACACATAGAAAATAGAAATGGGGGGGGTCATTAATCTGTACATAAGGATCTCTGTGGGTTGCATGTTGACTTAGTTTTAAAATGTAATGTTCTCTATGTTTTACTGTACAGTTATCCCTTCTACATCACGACTTTACCCATTGCGGTTTCAGTATATCTTGGGTCAGCCTAAGAAATTAAATGGGAATCTCTTGGGAGTTTTGCAGACAACACACAAAGGCCAGCAGCTGACACAGAGCCTATGACCAAATACTTAACCCAAAGTTTGCGTTTAGGTACCGTAAACACCCCATAAGACAAAAAGAAAAAATTCAGACTTCTCTGGTATGAAAGGAGGGCCAAAAAATTTCGTGAGGATTTTCCAGATCACCCCTAAGTCCTACACCCCTAAGTCCTGCAATGTGGAAGGGATAACTGTATTTTTATTTATTTTGTTAAATATTTCCCAATTACATTTTAATCTGGTTCAGGTGGCACTGTGCAGTATTGCAGCTGCATGGGCCTGCTGGCTGTGTGTTTGACAACTCCGGTGTAGATGGCTTCTGGCATCCCTCCTGGTTCTAAACCTACCATCCAATTATCTTTCTTTGTCATTCTTATCACTCATGCCCCCAATCCACCATCATCATAGCTCACTAAATTAGAGGAACAACCCTAAATAATAGCTTATGGTATGTAAGCTTACTGATTTGTTTAGTCGTTTTCCAGGCATGTCTGACTCTTCATGACCTCACTTGGGGTTTTCTTGACAAAGGTACTGGAAAGGTTTGCCATTTCCTTCTCCAGCTCATTTTACAGATGAGAAAACTAAGGCAAACAGGGTTAAGTGACTTCCCCAGGGTCACACAGCTACTAAGTGTCTAAGGCTGGATTTGAACTCAGGTTTTCCTGACTCCAGACCCCACGCTCTATCTACCATGCTGCCTAGCTGCCTAAGCTTATTGATACTTGTGCCCAAGTCTTTGTCTTACGTGTCAAGGCAGGAAGGAGACAGGAGATGGGCATTAAATGTAAAATCCCTAGCCACTTACCTGTATGTAATTGTTCCATTTCATTGAAATGGCCAAAAAAAATCTGAAAGCTTATGTCTTCCATAGTCTACAGTAATGCCATTGGCCTCAATTCGAGCATTTTTCTTTTCTGGGGTAAGGAATAGCCCCAGCGCTTAGGACTGATAGGCTTCACAATGCACGGGCACTTGAGGACCAGAAAACAGGACAACCAAAGTGTTTGTTTAAATTGTATACATATACTTTTTCTCATCCCCTGCCAAAGACCATTCTAATCTTCCACTTTCCACTTGTTCAGCAAATGTCGTGCCTGACACCAACTCTCTCACTTTGTCTGTCTCTCACTGACACATGCTTTCTCTATCTCTGGCCCTGTTATCACAACCAGACACACACATACCTAACAATGCAAACTAGGACACAAACACTGAAAACCATTAAAAATAGAAGATGGTTCTGCTAAATAAACACATACTGAAGTCCGGTACACAAAGGCAGTGGAGAAGCTGGAGAAAGGGAGGAGAAAAGGGCGGAGAAAAGGGCCAGTACAATTGGAAAGTTAATTTGGACATGAAGGAGGAGAGGAAACAATGAAAAAGAAGGGGAAAAAAGAGGCTAAGAACTTGGGAGTATGAGAGGGAAAGAAACAGGAACAACTCTTCCAACTCTGGCCTTTACCAAGATGGTAGCAAATGGATCGTTAGATTTATAAGAAAGAAAGATGCATATACATAGATAGACCACAGATGGCTAAATCCAACCCTAGGTCACCTTGGCAGCTACAGCTTCAATATTGGCAGGAACAATGCATTCGAAAGTGTTTGGATTCTTTTCCCGGGAGAAGATGATGGTTTCTGTTCTTTCTTTCCTCAGGAACTCCTCCTTTGTTACAATATCTGGGGAGAAGAAAGACAAGGCTTTAGTTGCAGTGAGGCATAATGTCTAGAGCAATGGACTTGGCATTAGGAAAACCTGTGTTTAAATTCCACCTTAGACACTAATTAGTTCAGTCTCAGTTTCCCCATCTGTAAAAAGGGAATACTAACACCTGTGATACTATACGCAGTTGTTATGAGGTTCAAATGAGTTAACTGAATGCTTTGCAAATGTCATTACTAGTGCACAACATCCAGGGTACTGCCTATCCTTCAAAGACTCAGCTCTGCTGTCAAAAAGTTTCCCATTGCCTAGCCCCCAGTGACCTTTGCCTCCTCTAGACTCCTGTACTACTTACTTATTGCCTACCCCAGTCATCAGACAGTTGTCATGTATGACCTTACAACCTATTCGTAAGCTCCACAGCAACATGGAGATGACCTTGGATTCATGAAAGTTATGCTGGCAGAGTGTAAGTTCTACTGAATCTTATTAAGTTGGAAAAGGTGTAAGTATAAGTCTGGGATAGACCATTTGTCATTCGTATGCATACACACACAGACACACACACCCCTGTATCTTGAGTAGCCAAGGAATAGCCTCACTAAGTATGGCAGAGCTCATCACCAAAGGGTCAGTCCCCAGATGAATGTTTCATGAAGTTAAAACACATGAAATGGGGAAGAGATAGGATCTGCACTCAGACCAATAAAATCATGGATGATTCCAAGTATCAACAAAGTGTCATATGTATGAAAATAACTGATGTGTGTCTATACACACATATGTATACATACACACACACACATGTAATATGTGTATCTTTCACAAGAGCCTGTATACTATCATGGATAGGGAGCTGGTATAAAGTCATCTTGATCCGGATTCAAGTCCCTTCTCAGGCACATATCGGCTGCGTGACCCTGGGCAAGTAATCTAACCTCTCAGTGCTGACAGGCGACTGTCTAAGACTCTAAATTGGTACACTCCACATATTGGACCCAAACTCATTAATAGAGGGAAAGGAAACTCCTGCTACTATGGCAGATGGTACCTGCTCTGCAATTTATAATCTTGGATTGCTGCCTGTGGACTCCAAGAGCTTAAATGACTTGTCTAAAGTCACATAGCCTGTATTTGTGATAGGTGAGACTTGAACCTGTTTTCCTAACTAAAGGGCCAACTCTATCCACTATGTAACACTATCCGTCCTTCCTCTTTCTCCCCTTCCTCTCCCTTCCACCCTTTTCCCTCTCTCCTTCCTTTCCTCCCTCTTTATCTCTCTCTCCCTTCCTCTCCTCTCCCCTCTCTCTACCTCTCTCCTCTGTTCCCCCTCCCCTCTTCTCCCCTCCTCTCATCTTCTCTTCTCTCCCTTTCCCCATCTCTCTCCCCCATCTCTCTGTCTCTGTCCTTCTGTCTGTCTCTTCTCCCCCCTCTCTCAAAGGATCTTAGACCTAGACACCTAGTTCAACCCCCTCCTTTACAGATGAGGAAATAGGCCCAAGGAAATGAAGAGATTTACCCTAGGTCACACAGGTAAGATTTGAACCCAGAAACTCTCACTCCAGAGTCACTGCTTTTTCCACAGACACACACGCACACACACACAAGTGACTCTTTTTCATACTTCCCTATTGCTTTTACAAAGCCTAACAATAGTGCGTAATTAATGGTAGTGTTCTATCAGGGGATGAATGTCCACTCTATCTGTGATAATGCAGAAAGGATGCTGGCAATGAGGGAGGGCTTGAATTAGATGACCTCAGTTTTTTAGCTATTGACTGACATACCAATAGTGAGTTTTCCTTAACAGTGTGGTTCTGGATCCATGGCAGCATGAGATAGTACAGTGGATCTGATTTCTGTTCATATGGAATATTAGTCCTACTGTGGGAGTCTTTTCTTTCACTCAAACCCTTTACTGCCTCCCCCTCCCAATTTTTAGTACAATCATCTCATTTGCTCAGAAGATTCTGCTTTGACCAACCAGGAGTAAGCCATCAACCAAGAAGCATTTGTTAAGTACCTACTATGTGTTAGGCATCATGCTAAGCACTGGAGAATACAAAGAAAGGCCAAAGACAAGTACCCAATGAGAGAAAAATGGTAGAAAATACTGAATTAAGAGTCAGGGCTCCTAGAATTTAGTTCTAGTTACTGAATGCTACTAATTGGCTGTGTGATCCTGGACAAGTCACTTCACCTATCAAAATGAAGAATTTGGCTAAAGTATCCTCCAAGGTTCTTTTGAGCTCTAAAACCCTATAATTCTAAGTCCCACTTAGCCCAAATCCCACACCAAGGCACTGAGCAATCCTCACCAAAGAGCCAGAGTGGCCAATGGCGTGTCATGTCCTACTACCAAAGAGTTCCAAAGCTCACAGTTTAACAAGGGGCTGTAGAGAAGAGGTTATGAGGCAGTTAGCAACAGTCCAGGCCACTGCTGGTTACTAAGGCAAAATGGCTTAATATGGAAGGATAAGACTGTGGCAAAGACCCTGAAAGACCCTTAAGAGCCAACATCTGGCCCTGGCAAGGAGCCCTCAGGCACAAACAGTCCTGGATGAATAACTGAGGGGAGCATCAGGCATGTTAAGGTGGAATGGAATGAGCATAGGAGTTTAGCTCGGTGAAATGGGATTTAAAAATAAGGCCTTGCAAAAACCACGTCGGTCAGGACGCCAGCTGGAAAATACTTCTGTCCTGAAACATGAAATGAAACCTCTTTTCTCTTTACACACGTCCTTGTGGTGTGTATGTGAGTCACAGGTGGCAAGGCTGTGGCCAGGCCTGGAGGGTTGGGGGGAGGGGAAGAGACTGAGAAATTCATGGGTATTCAAGGTGCAGAGAAAGCATTTTGGGGTAGTCATCTCCCTAGCCGGAAAGGAAGCTCATGTGACTTGAAGCTATTATAGTTATCCCGAGACACATGGCCCCTCCACATAGGCCTCTAAGCATTGAACACAACCCACTGGTGGGAGTTTGCTCACTTGTTTTGCTATGTGGGATATCTTAGTTCCTTTCACAAAGTCACTCCATTCATTAATTCATTAATTCATTTATTAATTAATTCATTCATTAGAACATACATTCCATACTTACCATAATGTCACGTGCCAAGATAGGTGCTGGAGAAGATATAATGACAAATAATTTATTCCTGTGAATATAAGGGTAGCAAGAATCCCTAAAATTTCTCCCAGTTCTCCACAAGGAGGTTACACAGAATAAGGCATCTGGAGCATTCTCACTTCCCCCCCCCTTCCCCCCCCACTGTCAGGCATGGTAGGAAGAGTCCTGGGCAAGGAATTAGCAGGCAATCAAAGGCAGACTGGATTTTGAGTCATAGGCCCAGGGTTGAAAGCCTGACTTTGTTACTTATTACATGTGTGACCTCATATAAATTTCTCATCTTCTTTGAATCCCAGTTTCCTCAATTATAAAATGGAGGGGGAGGACTTGGTCTCCAAGCTCCATATCTATGACCTGGATTTGAGATTTGGCTCACAAAATCCCTTGCTCATCTTTCTGACCTGTAAAATGGGTATGGTATCTACCTTTTTGTAAGGCCTTATTTTTAAATCCCATCTCACATGGTTGTTGTGAAGAGTAAATGTGACAAGGCACATGAGAAGACTTTGAGGTTATACAAAGATGAGGTATCATTATTATTATTTAGCCAACCTGGAAAGTAGCCACTCACTCACTACCTGAGGGTGAGTCATAATTTAAATCAAGTGAGTAGCAGACAATGCTAACTTCATCCATTTTCTGTACTAATTCACCTCCACAGGAAAGGGAGGCTGGGAGATATGTGTGCATGGGTGCGTATGCATGCATATGCTTGTGTATTTCTTCACACAGCTGCAACCTAGCAAGGACTGACATGGACCCAAGGGTTTCTCCTATTGTCCATGTCCTGGGGCTAAGCTCCCCACCCCACTCACCTGGCTTGCACATGTTGAACTCCATGGCCCCTCCAGAATTCAGCAGCTTTTGCACCAAGGTCTTGGCTAGCATGGTGGGGGTAAAGAGGATGGGCCGTCGGCGCTCAGAGTAGAAGGAACGTACCGCGCTGTATGGGATCAGGTTGAGTCTCTTGTTGAGGTCATTATCAGAGTCCATATCTGCAAGAGAAGAAAGAAGTGTCAGGCCAGTCTGCTGCCTATGAGTGGTGGGAAAAGAAGGCATTGTAGAGCCAAGAGCTGGAGAAAATCCATGTTCTTGGTTCCCAGCACCACTGTGGCTTAGATCTCTGCAGCTTCTCCCCCAACATTTCTCTAGGTCTGGTTTTTAGTCGTGTGATTGACAGAAGGCCTCCTGCTTGTTGCTGGAGATGACGTCATCATCTTATAGGCTGGCCATAATGGACACTGAGCTTTCCTCTGGGGCTTAGCTAACATTCACTTTGGCTAGGTCCCATTCATCCCTCCACTCTTAGTCCTACCCCTTCAGATGTGGGATAAGGAAACAGGCTCTCAACCAGAGAGTTGGCAATGGTGCTGGAAATGCAATGCCCTCTTTCCTCCTTCCCTGACCCTGAGCTGTGCCTGTGTGGTGAACATCCCCTTCACCAGCCCGAGGAATGGCAAAAGGCTCCCAGTGGGAGGGAAAAAATATCAATAAATAAATACTTCACAGCAAACAACTCCAATTAACATCAGCATTTGGGTGCTACTAGCTGTCACAAACTTTTAGTTAGTGGGATGGGGGAAGTCACAGCCTGATACAAGTAATGGGAATGGGATCTTGCCCCTCTGAGCAATGTCTTCATGGTCTTACTGGCTCTACTGAATCAGGAAGGCACGGAGAATCTGACCCAGGACCTTGCTGGTCCAGGGTGGGAGTAGGAAATACAGGAGGCCACCCAGAAGGAATGGAACTTTGGGGAGATGGGTGGAGTTAGACAAAAAGTCTACGTCTCCAATATCCCTGTATGTTGTTTTCTGATCCATCACTGTCTTTCCTGCTTGAATTCCTGCTCTAGCAAATGGATTTTCTTGTTCTTCTCATCTCCAGGTAGCTAGAGACAGCTAGGTGGTGCAGTGGATAGAATGTGTGGCCTGGAGTCAGGAAGATCTGAGTTCAAATCTGGCCTCAGACACTTATTAGCTGCATGGCCCTGTGCAAGTCATTTAATCTCTGCCTCAGTTTCCTCAACTGTAAATTGGAGATCATTATAGTACTTACCTTGCAGGGTTGTTATGAGGATAAAATATAATAGTATTTGTAAACTGCTTTGCACACGGTAGATGCTTAATAAATGTCAGTAACTTAACCTGGATTTTTGGTTTGTGCTTGCTCAGCTTCCAGACCCACCCTGTCTTTCCTCGCCCAAGTATTCTGGGCTCTATTCCCCCCATTTTAAAAGTTCTAAACTTAATGGGCATTAACTAAAATGATCATTCACACATACACAGAACAGAGAGGGATGTACATGAAACCATGAATCTCTATTACATGCAGCTTGCTTTTCTTATCAAACATATAATCAGTTCAACCTGCGCGTTTTCAGAGTTGTCCTGCTGGTCTGTGATTCCCTCTAGCCTTCTTTCTATTCTCTTCTGTGCATTTTAAAAGACATGGTTTCAAAGACTCTCTTTTCTTTCTTTTCTTTTTTCTTCAGCAACTCTATCCATAGCATCCCCTTCCCTAATCATCCCTACCCTCACTCTCCATTGGGAAAAAGGAAAACAATGGGACCTTTGTAACAAATATATGTAGTCAAGCAAAACAAATTCCCATATTGGCTGTGTCTGAAAACTCATGTCTCATTTTTCACTTTGAGCCCATCACCTCTTGGTCAGAAGGTGCTCAACTAAGAATTGTTCCTAATCACCAGGAGTTATACAGATGTCAACCCCAACCTTGAGGATATGACACTTCACCCTCAGGCAAATGTGTCCAATTACTGCTCCTTTCTTTCCCAATCTTGCTAGCCCCAAAGCCCATCTTCCTTGATGAAATCACTCCATCCAGGATATGGTGAGCATTTTGTCTACACTAAGTTCCTTGCTATGGACAAGGGGATTCAGGTTCTTTGGGGTGGCTTCCTATAGACATCTGATCTACAGATTTCCAGTTTTCCTATAGGCATCCAGAAGAGTGTCTCCAAAGGCGCTTCTTACCTTCGTGCTTCTCTGACAAGGGCTTCATAACATCGAGTGAGGCCCGGGCCAAGTTCCCTGGGTGGCCACTAGTGATGATACGGACGCGTTCATTGCTGTTCATCCTTTTGTATTTGTTTTCAGATCGACTAACAAACTGAAAAAACAAAACAGAAAGAAGTCTTCTCTGTGAGTGCTGAAACTAAATCCCCAAGCTTTGGTCTCTAACTAGCCTTGAATGGATTTATTCTCTGTTCTGGGTGGGGGTGGGGGGTAGTTTGGGAAGGGTTGTGAATGAATGACCTTTAATGATGAGCAGATTCTTAAACCTGTCTAAGTACAATCAGATGGTCCTCCTTGACCTTCCCATCACCTCAAGAACAGCGACTTTTTCATTTTTGTCTCTGTATTCCCAGCGCCTATTGCAGAGCCTGACACATAGTAGATGCTTCATACGTGCTTACTGATTGACAGATTGATTTTCTAGAATAAATAGTCCCCACATGAACAGTCTAGACCAGGTAATAATAGCAAATGACCTCATTTTCCAACTACCCTCATCATGTTGTGATATAGTTGAAGGTTGCTTTTTCTTACTACCCTCATTACAGTGTGATACAGCGAGAGGAACACTTACTCTAGATTCAAAGGAATTGGGTTTAAATCCTCCATCTGATACCCCCTGTGTAACTTTGGATGGGGTCTAACCTCTGTGAGCCTCAGTTTCCTCATTTGGGTAATAGAAATGATAATAGCACACATTTCATAGGACTATTGTGCAAGTGGGATGAGATAAC